ACATGGTCTGGGGATGTTTCTCAACGGTTGGAGTAGGAAACCTAATCAATATAGAATATACAATGAAAAAAGAAGACTATAAACAGATACTCGAGCAGCACGCTCTACCATCAGGTCACCGGTTAATAGGTAGAAATTTTATTATGCAGCAAGATAACGACCCTAAGCACTCATCTATATTGTGTAAAGGGGTCTTATTGCAAAAAGAAACAGAGTGGGTCTTGAGGAATATGACATGGCCAGCACAATCACCGGATTTGAACCCGATAGAATTTTTGTGGGAAAAATTTAAAGTTAGAAATACTCGAAAAAGTAATTGCCAGGATGCCCTGAATATGTCAGGTTGTCATTAGAAGTAAGGGTGGCTTTTTTGATGAAAAGGCAATTTAAAGAAAAATGTCTATTTCTTCGTATAAAAAATAATATAGAATGTAAAATATTCTACTTATAAGTATATTGACAAATAAAACTTCCTCAATTACTTTGTAGGCGTTCAAGTTTTCTTAGAAATATCCTATTTCTTTTAATTTAAGTAGTGATTCCAAACTTTTGGCCGGTAGTGTATATATATAAAATTTTATTTATTTTAGAAAACATAAAAATAATCACTATTAAAGTTTCAACTGCTGATTTAACACTGTTCCCACACATACAGATTTTTATTAAATCTCCAGTGGCATTTCCCCCAAAACACTCCCAAATAATAATGGAACCCCCCATCGTGCTTTATAGTCGGCCCAACACAATTTCGCAACAATGTTTCTTGTGGTCTTTTTCGTACAAATGTTCGCCTTCTGTTGTCGTAAACTTCAAATTTCGATTCCTCTATCCATAACACCTTTTCTCAGTCCGAAATTGTCCAGTCTGCGTGTACTCGTGCCCATTGCAGTCTTTTTGCTTTGTTTAGTGGTTTTAACAATGGTTTTTGCACCGCAACACATCTTCGAAGTCCCACCTGCAGAAGTCGCATCTTCACCGTTGTTAGCCCGATGAGATCTTCTCCTACACTATTTATTTCTGCTGCAATTTCCCGTGCAGACATGCGTCTATTTCGTTTGCTTATGATTTCTATAGAAAGATCCTCCACTGGTGTCGTCTTCTTTGGTCGCTCACACCTCTTTTTTGGCACAACACTGCCCGTATACCGGAATCGCGCAACAGTATTCTGGACGAAGGACTTCGAAATTCCAGTTTTACTCAGTAAACGGGGTTTTGACGGGGTAATTATTTCTGTACGTTTTTCCATTGTCCATTCTTTTCTGATATTCGCCATGGTGATCTTTTGAATGCTGAATAATAACTAAACCCAAACTGGCGATGCCATAGTTCTCGTTCAAGAACTACGAATTGCATTCGTAATTGTATAAACAGACTGCGATAACACTTAAGTACCTTTTAACATAAGCAGAAACAAATATCTTGACGGGAAAAGATAGAGTGATAAAAGTCGCCTAAACTAAATCTTGAATTCTGAAAAACTAGTCTTGAACCGTACGATAAAGATTTCAGTTTTTTTTCTGTATATTAATTAGAACACAATACCAACCGTGTCATTAAAAATATATTCCTTAAACATAAATGTTATTGCTAGAACCGTTCATATCGAAATAAGTAGCTAAAGCTGTAAAGTAATCTAAAATTCTAAAATGGTTAGGTACCCCATGACTTATGGACGGAGGTGTACATACTATGATAAAAGTACTTAAACTGTGTACAGGCCAGACTACATTTCTATGGTTACATTCATAATAAGTCTATAACTCTGTAATAAGAGTTTTAATACAGATCGTCTGAGTTGAACATTTTAATTACTACAATTTTCACTCCAGTAAATTTAATATTATTTTTCACGTTAACTGAAATCGTCTGACTAAAAGTTTTCGTCATCGACATTGGTTATCGATAGCTAACAAAACTTTTAATCATTTGTATCGGTTATTCCTAGACAAAGACATTCAAGTCGAGAAAATAATTGTTATACTATAACTTTCTTGCATTAGGGTTATAACAGTTATGGTGTCTGTTAGGTTTTCTGTAGAAACGGTTTATGGCACGATCGACCGGGAACGGTTATTTTTGAGTTCAGGATTTTCGTTTATTGCTTGCACGGGTCTAAATACAGATTTTTATTAAATCTCCAGTGGCATTTCCCCCAAAACACTCCCAAATAATAATGGAACCCCCCATCGTGCTTTATAGTCGGCCCAACACAATTTCGCAACAATGTTTCTTGTGGTCTTTTTCGTACAAATGTTCGCCTTCTGTTGTCGTAAACTTCAAATTTCGATTCCTCTATCCATAACACCTTTTCTCAGTCCGAAATTGTCCAGTCTGCGTGTACTCGTGCCCATTGCAGTCTTTTTGCTTTGTTTAGTGGTTTTAACAATGGTTTTTGCACCGCAACACATCTTCGAAGTCCCACCTGCAGAAGTCGCATCTTCACCGTTGTTAGCCCGATGAGATCTTCTCCTACACTATTTATTTCTGCTGCAATTTCCCGTGCAGACATGCGTCTATTTCGTTTGCTTATGATTTCTATAGAAAGATCCTCCACTGGTGTCGTCTTCTTTGGTCGCTCACACCTCTTTTTTGGCACAACACTGCCCGTATACCGGAATCGCGCAACAGTATTCTGGACGGAGGACTTCGAAATTCCAGTTTTACTCAGTAAACGGGGTTTTGACGGGGTAATTATTTCTGTACGTTTTTCCATTGTCCATTCTTTTCTGATATTCGCCATGGTGATCTTTTGAATGCTGAATAATAACTAAACCCAAACTGGCGATGCCATAGTTCTCGTTCAAGAACTACGAATTGCATTCGTAATTGTATAAACAGACTGCGATAACACTTAAGTACCTTTTAACATAAGCAGAAACAAATATCTTGACGGGAAAAGATAGAGTGATAAAAGTCGCCTAAACTAAATCTTGAATTCTGAAAAACTAGTCTTGAACCGTACGATAAAGATTTCAGTTTTTTTTCTGTATATTAATTAGAACACAATACCAACCGTGTCATTAAAAATATATTCCTTAAACATAAATGTTATTGCTAGAACCGTTCATATCGAAATAAGTAGCTAAAGCTGTAAAGTAATCTAAAATTCTAAAATGGTTAGGTACCCCATGACTTATGGACGGAGGTGTACATACTATGATAAAAGTACTTAAACTGTGTACAGGCCAGACTACATTTCTATGGTTACATTCATAATAAGTCTATAACTCTGTAATAAGAGTTTTAATACAGATCGTCTGAGTTGAACATTTTAATTACTACAATTTTCACTCCAGTAAATTTAATATTATTTTTCACGTTAACTGAAATCGTCTGACTAAAAGTTTTCGTCATCGACATTGGTTATCGATAGCTAACAAAACTTTTAATCATTTGTATCGGTTATTCCTAGACAAAGACATTCAAGTCGAGAAAATAATTGTTATACTATAACTTTCTTGCATTAGGGTTATAACAGTTATGGTGTCTGAAATAAACAAACATAATATATTTGCCAATACAAGATGTGTTGAGCGCAGCGATTTGTGACACGGACGTGAGGAAGATGCTGTTTTTGAGATTAGGATTTTTGTTATTATTAGCATGCGTCTTGAGTAGAAAAATTATCCTGACGAGAGAAAGTTTGGTTTACAACTCTAGACTTTTAGAAAGTCATTTTTCTCGTCCTCAATAGCCAAGTGACATACCACAATAAAGGGCCATCCAAAGGGTAGACATAGAACAGTCGTAACGGTCAAGAGGCCGACCAAGTCAAACCTGGCGGAAGTTCCCTGCTGTCAATAGACATCGCCACTTTCTTGTCCAGGGCATCGCCGAAGCATGCTGATTGGTTTTTTGGGATTTTCCCAAATCTCCAATCAGTGTGCAGTTTAGAAAAAGGAAGGGCGACTTGGAAAGCAGCGTCGCTTCCTTCGAGACAGTTCGAGTCAGTAAACAGAAATAGTATACACAGTCAGTTAATAAACAGAACAATCAGAAATCAAAATAGTACAGAACACAGTCATTCAGAACAGGCTTAGGAAGTAGGCTAAGCACATACATAGAAAACAGGATCTAACATATAGGTTCGATTCTTGGTATACAGGCCAGCAAGAAACACTGCAGGTTTCTTGATACGACTGGCGGGTTTGTTAATAAAATATAGTGAAAACACAAACGCGTCGTTCAATTCTCAAAGGAACTAGTCCTTTGAGTGGTCCTTCGAGCAAAAACCATCAGACGGCATAGAAGGGTGAAATACACCAAGGACGGCACGGTAAAGCACTATCGTGCAAGTCCCCAACAAGATGAATGTATAAAAGCCAAGTCCGATTATATTGAAATTCTGTTCTTTTTTAGCAACTGACCTGTTCATGGCAGACAGAGCATGACAGACCTGATAAAACCAAAAGCACATCCGTGCGTCGGTTTGCCATCGCTCGTACTTAAATATCCCACGACCTTTTCCCACTCCGAGACGAGAGTAGAACTTATTCAAGATTACCTCTGCCATATTGTAGCTGTGTATAACTTCCAGGATCATGAAAATCCTGAGGTATCGATTATAGGAACGTACGATTCAAATAAAATTCCTTACAAAGTGAAGGTTAACTTCCCATAAATATTTAGAGAGGATTTGTTCACAAAACCGTAAGCAATACTAACAAACTTATGATTACTTAAAGATTCTATAAATTTCCGAACTTCTCAAAAGTCATGTTACCATCTAATTCGGGCACAAGCTTCATTCTGTTCACAATCTTGTATTCATCAAGCTATGGGGTTTTTTGCAACTTTTCCCCTATCAAACCAATGCTCTCTTTTCTACTTAAGATTGGTAACACCAGCACCACACTTCCGATTTGTCCGATGAGAGGGCGCAAGTTCTCAGACACCGCTAAAAACTAATTCATAGAAGAAAGCAGAAAAATATGCGTCGGTTGGCCATCGCTCGACAACAGTACGCTCACGGTAGTGTATACATTGTATCAATTTACACAACTTAATTCTAATGCTCGTGCTGGTATAGGTACAAATCCATTTGAGAGTAAAACTCGCGTGAGGAGCTCTCGAGAGTATTTCTCGCAAGTGGACACTGCGTCTGACAATGAGAGTGGCTATCGGAGAGCAGCATTCAACTCTCCGTGAGCGATTGTGTTGTAAGTTGTTCTCAAATGGATAAGTGGATACACTTAAATGAATAATAATGTTTCTATCGGAGAGTTGCCTTCGAAATACGAACCAGTTTTGTCCTTCTGAGAGTACTGTCATGAGAGTAGCTATACGGCCATATACTACAACTATCCAACTTACGAACTATATTAAATTACAATTTGTAAAACACTTAGGCTCCGCTAACTCTTCAAAATCAGAAGTATGAAAATGAGAGTAGCTGTATAAATGTGTACGTGTGCGCATGTGTGCGGAACTACATAGATTAATTTTTTTCTATGTTACAGAGTAACAGGGCACTTACTTTTCATATATTTTTATAAACTTACTTTGCTTTTGTTCATACAAATTTGATTATTTAATATCTCTCATTTTTTTCTTTATCATATGTGAAAGAACAGTACGGTTGCATAGAAGTTGACTGTGGCGCATGAAATACTACAGAAGTGGGTTGTACTATAGTATTTGGGCCCACGTCTATTGGGTCGTATGATACATGGTTGAAAAGCGTATGAGTAGAGGAGTCCAACATGGGTGGTCATTGCTACCACAAATGTCTCAATCAGAAAATATGGCTTAAAATATGTAAATCCGACATTAGGGTAGTCATCTATGTATAGCGAAATCTATCTAACCCTGCCAGACTCAATTTGGTAACGTAATTTCATACACACCAATAATAACACATAATTCGTGTTTTTCGTTAATAATTCAAAAACGAAGCTTCAACCAACATTTTGGTAAAGGAAAAAGTTGTTCAAAGTCACCACAGCAACACCCCATTTCCGGGTGTTTGAGGAGTTACGGGACACCCTATAGATCCGTAAGAATGTCGAATGGGTAGAAGATGAGGTGAGTAAGGAAATGAAGACACCTTTACGTAACCACAGTTTATGCTGTAACAAATTTGCAGATAATACATCAGTTCCATGGAAAAGCTTTAACAATTAAAAATGACGGGGTACTACGATTTGTAATGCATGAATCAGCAGCATTACAAATCGACGTAGATTCAGCAACGGTGGTAAACAAACTGTGTGTTGTGAAAATTTGCTGAGTTTAAATATGGGTTAGAAGAGAAAGACGAAAGTAAAGATACAT